TGTTGGTGCGGCACAGCCGGCGGTTGAACATGAGCAGGATGAGGGTCCGGGCGGCCTGCTGCGGCAGCGCCACCTTGAACGGCAGGCTGCCCCACAGGCTGCTGAACTGCAGCCACGCAGGGCCGGAGCCCGTCAGCAGCACCGTCGCCATCTGCGGGGGCAGCGGAGGCGGCGGCGGCGGCGCGTCAAGCCTGGGACGAAAAGCGCAGCAGGAGAGCCAAGGAGCTGCACCCCGGCCGGCTGACGGCCTGCCTGGAAGGTGGAGGGCTGGGCGCCGCCCTTGGGATCGGGGTAGATGTACTGGTGGGTGAAGCAGCCCAGCGAGACTTGCAGCAGGTTGTCAAACACCTGGATGGGCACCCGCCACCTGCAGAAGCCCCAGGCGCAGGTGCAGCACACGGAATCAGCGGGGTGAGGCGGGGGAGGCAGCCTGGCATTAGAATGGGCCCTCGCAACCAAGACAGAGCAGCAGGTGCAGCAGGTGCTCTTGAGGGCGGCAGGGCCGGCGCCCACCCGGTGTAGCTCTCCCCGAGCAAGGAGGGGGCAAAGGCGGGCAGGACGGTTGTGACGGTGCCGATGGCAATCACCACGCTGGCCGCCCACTCGTTCACCGCCAGCGCCCGCAGCAACACCACGCACCAGGTGATGCCACGGGCGTAGTGGAACTGCAGGAGGGCAGGGAGAAGGACGTGAGGAGCAGGGGATGCTTAGCAAGCGATGGTAGCAAAAAACGCTAGGCGCGAGAGACGGGCTTGGGGACCCGCCGCCACCACCTGGCGCTCCGCCGTGCAACGGCCAGCGGCTCGTTGCCTTGCCCGTGTTTCAACTTCCCGGCAGCCCCTGGGGCACTCCCCAGCGCCCCGGCGCCGGTTTTGGCTGGCTCTTGAGAAGAGGCACATGACCGCGGCCTGTGTGTGTGTGTGTGTTTTCGTCCTTGCCTGGGTTTCGAGAGCAGCGTTGCGACGCGCGTGATAGGATGAGAAGTCCTTCTCCAGCGCTGGGCGCTCAAAGCCCATGTGGGGCAGCAGCATTAGGTCGTCGGCCCCCCACGCCGTTCCCTCCTTGCCGCGAACTCGCGAGGATGCAGTAAGCCGCATCCACTGCAGGCCAACCGAAGGGCAAATCACAGTGTCACCCTTCCACGCGGGACAGGCAGCGACGCGTGGCCCTTGCAGAATTAAGATTCGGTCCGATGCAGCAGCCCTGGCATGGGCATTGCCTTCAGTGTGTCTCGACAGTGCCAATTTGCGGGTACGAAGCCGGCTGCCGGGAGTTCTACCAGCTGCGCCGGCGCTCGCGATATAGCATACGCTGCTGGCTGGGGAGGGTGCAGGCCAAAACCGAGGGATGACCATGCCACCAGACATGCTGGGTTGAGCTAAAGCAGATCATTTTGCACTTCAGTGCGTGCCGGGTGGTGGTGAAGCCTGGCGGGGGGCCGCCACTGCCTGACCGGTAGGAGCCGCCAAGCACTAGGGATGGCAGCGCTGGCTGCTGAGATGCACCAGACAGACAAATCCCAAGGCCGGCATGCTCGGGAGCTCCGTATACATGTCGCTGCTTCAGAACATGGCCACGGCAGCTTCTGCCAGGCAGGGGTTGAACTAGCGCCCGCCTGGCGGTGGTGATGGCGGCGCTTCCAATATTTTGTGGCTGCCTTGACCTGCGCTCCAGGGCAGACCGACTCGGAGTCCATGCGATAGCAGAGAGCTTTGAAACCATGGCTGGGGAGGCCGAGCTGAGCGCAGTGGACAAACTTAGTCTCGGCTTGTCGAGATCGTATTACGCGCTGGCCCGGGCGCTGCGCCTGAACAAGCTGCACGACCTGCTGGCCTCGGGGGCGTCGATCACTCCCGACGCCCCCGTCTGGCTTCTCGGCCAGTGCTACTCCTGCCCGCCAGGGGCCAGCGAGGCGCAGCAAGAGGAGGTGAGGGGGCGTGGAACGTGCTGGGGAGCGCCGCTCTAGAACTCCTCTGCAGCAGCCTGGGCTGGTGTTGCCGCCGCCCGCCACCCGCCGCCCGCCCTGCCCCGCCCTGCAGGCGCTGGCGCGCATGCTGCACCACTACCAGAGCATCCCCTGGATGTCCTACCGCACCGGCTTCACCAGCATCGCCGCGGGCTCGGCGCACCTGCAGAGCGACGCGGGCTGGGGCTGCACGCTGCGCAGGCAAGCCGCCGCCTGCTGTGCCCGCACGCCACGCCGCACGCCCGCCTGGCGCTGCTCTGGCACGGTCCTCGCTTGTTGACACCCGCCTGTCTGCTCTGCCTGCCTGGCGGTGCAGCGGCCAGATGATTCTGGCGCAGGGGCTGGTGCGTCACGTGCTGGGCCGCGAGTGGCGGTGGCCAGAGGCGGCGCGCCAGCAGCAGGCGGCAGCGGCGCCGGCGCTGGCGGCGGCGCCGGCCGAGGCGCCCCCCAGGCTGGCCCGCCTGCTGGAGCTGTTTTGGGACACGCCCGCAGGTGGGGCCGGCCGGGCCAGCCAGGCGCAACCCTGCAGGGGAGCGCCGCCCCGCCCAGCCGCAGGCAGTGCCGCCGCCGGGCAGGGCCAGGCCTCTATCAATTGCTGTTTTCATGCAGCGCCTTTCAAGGGTTGCCAGCTGGCTGGTGCCGCACGGTGCCGGCGTGTATGCGCGGCCGGCTCCCTGCATCCCTGCCCCGACCCGCCGCCCCGTCGCCGCCCGCGGCCGCCGCAGAGCGCAACCCCTTCTCCCTGCACAGCCTGTGCCGCGCGGGGCAGGCGTGCGGCGTGGTGGCGGGGCGTTGGCTGGGGCCCTGGGTCATGTGCAAGACGCTGGCGGCGGCGGCGGGCGCCGCGCGGCGGCAGGTGGGTGCCGCGTGCGCTGGAGGCCGGCGGGCGGCCGCCCTGTGTCCTGTCGCAGGCCGTAGGCGTGGGGTAGTTTGCGATGGGCGCGGTGGTGGCAGCCTCAGCTCCGCCTGCCACAGTCACAGCGGGGGGGGCTGTTGAGGCGGGTGGCGGAGGCGGAGGCTTCACGTCCCCGGCGCGGTTGCCTGTGCGCCCACGGCAGGGAGTGGACTTGGGTCTGACGGTCGCGGTGCTGGCAGAGAGCGGCGGCGGCGCGCCCCTGCTGGTGACCAGCCGCTTCGAGCCCGCCTTTGGCGCCGGCGGGCCGCCGTCGCAGGGCCAGGATGCCGCGGCGCAGCAGGGGCAGCAGCAGGAGCGGGAGCAGCGGCAGCGGCAGCAGGGCACGGATGGGAGCGCGGCGGCGGCGGCGGAGCTGGTGCCTGTGGGCAGCGGCATGCTGGCTGTCGAGCCGCCCTCGCTGGCCGCCAGCGTCAGCCAGCTGACGGGCGGCGGCGGCGGCGGGCGCGGGCTGGTGCTGCTGGTGCCGCTGGTGCTAGGGCTGGGGAAGGTGAGTGCGAGGGCGCGGGAGCAGGGTGCGTGTGCTGGGGCGCGTGTGCTGGGGAGGCGCCGCCGCGGGGCGTGCACAGCGCCGCCGGCAGCGTAGGTGCGCTGTTTCTCCACCCCGCCCCGACATCTGATCCCGGCCCCCACCCCACACATGCTACCAGCACAGCCACCGGGCCCCTCCTGCCCCCGCCCTTCCCCCGCCTGTACCGCAGCTCAACCCGCGGTACATCCCGCAGCTGGAGGCGGTACTGGCCATGCCTCAGAGCATCGGCATCGTGGGGGGGCGCCCCTCATCCTCCCTCTACTTTGTGGGCTTCCAGCACCTGCACCAGCACCAGCACGCAGCGGCGCCGGCGCCGGCGGCCGCGGCCGCGGCACCGGCAGCCGGCGCTCCCGCGGCAGTGGGGGCGGCGCCGGCTGAAGCCGCGGCAGCGCCCCTGGGCGCGGCGCCGGCCGCGGCGCCAGCCGCGGGGCCCGCAGCGGCGGGGCCCGCAGCGGTGGCGGCGGGAGGCGCGGCCGGGCGGGAGGCGGGGGCGGGGAGCGCCGCCGCCACCAGCAGCGTGATCTATCTTGACCCGCATCAAGTGCAGGAGGTGAGGGGAGATGCATGCGATGCATGCCTCTGGCAGCCTCCTGCCTGCGCCCCCTTGCCGCGTCCACTGCCCGCCCGCCAGCTCGACCCCTCACTGCCGCATTTAGCTGCCGCCGCCGCCGCCCGCGCGCGCAGGCGGCCGCCTGCCCCGACGACTGGCGCACCTTCTGGTGCGAGACGCCTCGCTCCATGCCGCTGCCCTCCATCGACCCATCCCTGGCCCTGGGCTTCTACTGCTCCTCCCTGGGTGAGAGAAGCGGAGGCCCCCGCCGCTGCTCCTTCCCGCCGCCACGCCTGCGCCGCCGCCGCCGCTCCGTGCTCCTTGCTTGCGCTCGCGCGCTCGCCTTCCTGGCAGCACGGTCGTCGCCCCGGCTCAGCCGCCGTCCAGGCCGCTCTGCAACTGTCCCGGCTGCTGTCGTGGCTGCCTCTGGGCGGCTTGGCAGCGTGCCGCCGCTGGCCACCGCTGGCGCTGCCCGCTGCCCGCTGGCCTCGGCGTCCCACCCATTGGCGCCGTGCCCACTCGCTCCCACTCGCTCCGACTCGCTCCCTTGCTGACCCGCCGCTGCCGGCTGCTGCCTGCAGGCGAGTACCGAGACCTGTGCAGCCGGCTGGAGGCGCTGGAGCGGCGGTCGGGCGGCGCGCCGCTGGTGTGCGTGGCCACCCAGGCGGCGGCGGCGAGGTACGCCTCGCCGCACGAGACAGGTGCGCTGGGTGGTGGGGTGCGGGGCGGGGAGCGCGGTGCACATGTGATGGAGGCTGTCGCTGCCGTGCGTCTCGCTCCTTGTGGCACAGGCGAGCTGAGCTGCAGCCGGGCTGGCGTTTCGGAATCGGATTTTGGAATCCCAACCAATCCTGCCTCACAAGACCAGGCCGTGCAGTGCCGACTGCCGCCGCCTGGCCCTGCCGCCGCCTGGCCCTGCCACCCTGCTGCCCGCGCCCTGCTGCCGCCGCCTGTGCAGAGTGGGAGCCCGATGAGTTGAGCTCGGAGGGAGAAGAGGAGGAGGAGGGCGGCGCTGGCAGCGCGGAGGAGGCGTGTCAGGAGGAGCCCGTGGTGCTTCAGCCCGATGTGGTGGCAGAGGCGGAGGCGGCAGTGCCGTCGCCGCCGCCGGCGGCAGCCAGGGGCGCAGCCTCGGCGGGACCTGCCAGCCCCGCGGCGGCGGCAGCGCCGCCGGCGCCGCCGCGAAGCGGCCCGGGCTCGCTCCAGCCGGCGCAGCAGCAGCAAGGGCTGTCGCCACAGCAGCAGCAGGCGGGGCAGCAGCAGGGCGGCGCGCCCGGCATGTCGCCTCGGCAGATGAGCCGCGGCTGGGAGCTCTTGTAGGCTGCCCGCCCCCCAGCTGCCAGCCAGTGGCTGGGTGCCTGCTGCCCTCCCAGCGAGGGCATGTGCCCCCTCTCGCTCCCTGCTGCGCCATGTACCCTCCTGTATGCAAACCTACGTTTCTGTGCTGGCTGGCTCCAGTGAATTTCTGTACCACCTCAGAGCTCCCACTCCCGCTGCCATGCATGCACGGAGCTCTGGGCTCGCCACTCCGCGGCCCATGCCCGCCTGCCTGCTCCTTTCCGGGCCTTGCTTCGGCGTTGTAACCTCGGCTGCAGCCACACAGGAGGCATTGGGAGGCGAGGAGGCTCCCAGGGGCCTGCCAGGAGTGGTGTGACTGCTGCCCCGCCCGATTCCCGACAGTCCCGCGCTGCCTTGCGGGCTGGCGGGTTGGCTGGTGGGGGGCACTGGCACCGAGCCTGGGCCTCCAGGCCGTCTCAACTCGCTGCCAATGACGTCTGGCTCGGTTGGGCACGCATCCATGCCCGGCAGAGGCAGCCAAGGGAGCGGCGGCCAGGCCGCACCTTGGACAGCTGGCGTCGTGTTGTGCCAGACACCTCACCCACAACGCAGTCTGGGGGCATAAACCACGGCGCCTGCCTCCATTCTCACACTTCTCCCCTCTCTCCCTCCCCTCCTCGTCTCCCCCTGCAGTCATGGCCCGCCAGGCAATCGCTGTGTGCCTCCTGCTGCTGCTGGCGGCCTCGGCCAGCGCAGGTGGGTGGGGACAGCCCAGCCCGCCCTGCTGCCTGCTCTGCGCTGCGCCCCTGCCTCTGCCAGGCCCAGAAACAGCCGCCAGGGTGCCGGGGAGGGCGCGGGGAGGGCTCCAACGCGCGCTGGGAGCAGCCACAGCTGTCAACGCCTGCCTGTCAGACTGCCCCAACCCCTGCCTGTCTGCGCCCCACTCTCACCCTGCCACCCCTCTGCCGCCCTCCTGCCGCCTCCCCAGAGCCTGCCAGGCGCCTGCTGCAGGGCGGCGGCTCGGCGTCCGCGGGCGCCGCCTCGGACGCCCAGGCCTCGGGCGACGGCGGCTCCGCCAGCGCCGCCGCCAACGCCACCGCGCAGGCCTCGGGCGGCGGCTCGGCCACCGCCTCCTCTGTCGCCAAGGCCATCTCCAGCGGAGGCACCGCCGCCGCACAGTCTGTGGCCAATGCCGTGGCCGGCAACAACACCCAGGCGGTGGCAGGTGGGCGGGAAGGCGCCTTGCACGCAGCGCCGCCACCGCCCGGCGCACACCCTCTGCCACCGCTCACCGCGCCCTCGCCCTCCCGCCCACCCACCCGCTTGCCACCGGCTGCAGGCGCCGTGGCTCAGGCGATCACCCAGGGCAAGGCGACCGCCGCCGCTCAGGTGGGTGTGTGGCGTGGCGCGGTGTGATGTGGTGTGGTGTGGTGTGTGTGGTGTGGGCATGCCAGGGCAAGCAGCATGCAGCCTTCCGATGCACGCTCGCCACCCCCGTTGCAACGAGCGCCCTCTCCCGCCCTCTCCCGCCCCTCCCCGCCGCCCCGCGCCGCTCGCCCGCAGGCCACCGCCCAAGCCGTGAGCACCCAGGGCGCCGCCGCCTCCGCCACCGCCCAGGCCCTGGCGCAGGGCATCCTGCAGGCGCTGCAGCAGCAGCCGCAGCAGGCGGTGCAGCCCGCCGTGCAGAGCCTGAACCAGGTCCAGCAGGCCGGGGTGCAGTCGCTGGTGGACAACACATGCTCCGCGCTGGCGCAGGTGGGGGCGGCGGCGGCGGCGCCGGCTGCCGCTTCTGCTACCCCTCGCCCGCTGGCCTGCCCCGAGCCCTGCCCGGCGCCTGCCAGCAGTCTGCCGTCCTGCGCCTTGTGCCTGCAAGGGGGATCCTCAG